TGGCGTCAAAGTACTTGTTGAAGGCGTCGGCGGGCAGCTTGATGGCCTCGGCGATGAGGGAGGTGAAGGCGATGGAGATTTGGCCCATGCGGTCCATGTACTCTGTGAAGGTGGCGCGGAAGCCCGGGAGCGCGGATTCAGAGGGCCACTGGTTTGGGGCGAGGAGGCTGTAGTAGAGCGGGTCGTTTGGTCCCGGCAGCGGGTGTTCTGTCGAGAGGTCGATTTGTTCGCGGTGGTCTATCTTGCCTGCTGTGATTTCTGCCGAGAGCTGGGAGTAGCCGAGGAAGGATTTGGCGTTCTTCATCTCGATCTTTAGTCTAATCAAGAATGTCAGCACATTTATAAACCGGTCTACAATCTGGAGCATCATTGTCTGAATCAAAGGAGTTCACTGTACTTTTCCTCGGTGGGTATATCGAAGAAGCCCTTGCCTTCCTTAATCACCCTCTTGAATAGCTCGTCGGGGATACCGACGTTTTTTAGGTACAGAAACCCGACTTCCATGAGTGCATGGCGCAGATCATTAAGAAACTGCGGTTTCGTCTCGGGATCTTGCGCCAAGGCGAGGTCGAGGATCGGAATGGATGTGAAAGACATGGCTGTGTGTCTCACTGCTGCTGTCTCATACTCTACAGGAATTCAAAAACGGTCGAGAGATCAAAAGACAAAAGGCAGGCCTAGGCTGGACTAGAAAGAAGTTAGGGAAGGCAATTTAAATAGGTAGATCGTCTATTGAATCGATTCCTGTGTAGAAGATATCAGTGGTATGATCCGGATAACATGAGTGCGAAGTCGCAGCATTTGGCATGCCGCTGTTCAGGTAAGCCGTCGTTTGAGCAATTGGGCAACGGGATGGCGTAATGCGGGCGGCGGGGCACTTTGCCGATCGGCTTGCCCCGCAGTTCGGCGCGGCGGGGTCACCGAATAACCGGCGCATTTTCACATTCCATCTGACCGCCCAACCCTCACCAGCGCCAATAACGCGAGAACGCGAAAGCGGTAACACACCAGCCCCTACTGGCAGATACGGAGTCACGACACTGAAGGATACCATAAGTAGCTTATACTTCTTCATATTTGTATTCATTCGCGATACTAAGACCAAATGTCCCCCAATATCTACCAATCCAAAATCACCTAAACACTAAAAAAGAGTTCACCACCGGTGTGGCTACATCTCTTGGTGCTCATGCTGGGATTCGAACTCGGGTACTCGCTAAGCCTGTCGTCGAGTAAGGCTGGTTGGCGTTAGAGATTTTGATCGTTAACCATAAACCACTCCACCACCCAGCCAGTTTGACCTGACCCGTCGACCTAGACGGGCGCCTGCTGGCTGGTGAAAGGAATGGGATTGAGGGGGTCTATATACCCTTCCGGTGACATGTATGGGAAGGTGCGATGAGCCAGGCGGTCCGGTCGTACGTGCCTGCCCTGCCTCACAGTCTATAAAGGTGTACAGACACAACGCATCCGTGGTGAGGGGCACGCCAGTAGTGCGCAAAGAGCCTTGAACTCAAGGGAGTTGCCTAGTACTCGGGCCAAGTCAATCGAACATTTCCACAAGAAACCCTTGAAGATCCAAATGCTTTTACTACATTCTTCTATTATCGGGTATAATGCACATATTTTAACAACTTTTGTTTAGCCGTTTCATGATCCCAGAGGCTTCGTCGCCAATAAACCCGTAACCTTGTAGAACATGTCCTCAACCGAGGGCATGGCAAAAGCCGGCGCCGCATCAAACAGCTCGGCAAGTTTCTGCCTGTTGATGACGGCCGGTTGGGCGTCGTCATCATCCAAATCCATCTCTTCTCCGTTCGCAGCCTCCGTCTCCTGCTCATTGTCGCTGGCCATCTCCTCGTCCTCGATGGCGTCGTCGAGAACCACGTCTGCGGCAACCGGCTCACCATCCAGCTGCATGTCCTCCAACGGCCTTGAGAGCGCGACGGCTGTGGGGTCCGAGGCCTCGGCAACTGACCACAGTTGCGCCGCGTCGTCGACCGCGACGAAGCCTGATGAGCTTCCGGTGGAGACAAGACTGGTGATACGGTGGGGGATGCGCCTCACGCACAGCAGCGCAGGCTCTTCCGGCTTGAAGACTGCGAGCTGCGAAGCTTGGCCGCCAGGTACGACGACGGCGAACGTCCGTGATTTACGGTCAACAGCCAAGTGACTGAATTCCTTCACTGCCGTGGCGTTGCGGCCGCTCGGCAGCTGGAGGCCGTACTGCAGCTCGTCGGCTACCACATCAAACACTCTCAGGTCATCCGAGAGGGTGATGATGTACGGGGAGAGAACCTGAAGGCGGCGAATGTGACCCTTCCACATGTTTTCCAGTGTCGACCTAATCTCACCAGTCTTGGTATCGATCACATAGATGCCGCCGTCGTTTGAGTGGCCAAAGGCAACAAAAAGCGTCGAGCCGTCCTCGGAGAAGCACAGGCTGCCGCTACGCTCTCCCGTCGTCTCTCCAGTGGTGGTAAGCGCATCAGCTCCCACGTTGCCTCCGAGACCCACGGCCACCGTGCATGACCACGAGTGCAAGACCTCGCCGGCGTTGTCTTTGGATGCGATACCATCTTGCTGCCTTGTTTTTGATTGCCATATCCGCGCCGTGCCATCGTCTCCGAGGGTGGCGAATCTGTTCGTTGTGTGATCTGCTGCGAGCGCCAGGACCGTCTCTGGCCGACTTGTGACGTGCGGGCTGTTGATTCTGGAAGACAGGGCAAAGTGCTCTTCGCCAGCAGTCGCAGACCAGAATTTGAGATAGATCTCGCGCCTCTCTCTTACAAACTGCTCGCGCGCTTCTGGTGCCACCTTCTCCAAATCACGCTTGGGAGGTTGCCAGTCATCAACGGTCGCCAACCACCTGCCGTCTTGCGAGAACGAGACATGGGTTATACGAGGCTCTGAGATGGGGTTACCCTTTGACGTGATATTAACATCTGTCGGCTGGGTTCTTGCTAGAGCTTGCTTTGAGACACTCCGGAACGATTCCATATCGAATGATTGCAACAAAGGTGCTGACTGAATCTCGCCAGCCAACATCGACTGCTGGCCAGTTCCTGTGCAGACATACAGTCTTGATGGCTCGGCAGGATTCAGTGCCGCAGGAACTGGATGCCGCACCTCGTCGGAAACAGACCAGACACGCTTAACGAGCAAGTCTTTTGGCGTCGAGGTAAACCGGGCGGCGGACTGAATACCAGAGATGTACGTCGATGGCTTCATCTCAGCCGTGGACAAGACGATGGCAGAGTTGTCATCCAAGTGGATTGCGTAAGATGCTCCAGTGGGGGACACAACGATGTTCTCGATACTTCCCGACAAGTGAGGGAGGAAATCCTTCTTGCCGGTATCCATCTGCCAGAGCACGAGGACATTTTCCGAACCACCGGAAATCATGTATTGACCTACAGCGCATGTTAGTGTTTGCAGATGATAGTCATTGGCGACTGAAAGTCCTCACCATCCTTTGACCACTTCACGCTGTGGACAGCCCTCCTGTGCCAGTGGAACTTGCGGCTCGTGAGAGCCTCTCTCTTAGATTTTGGCCCGTTGAGGTTCTGCAGTTTTCTGAGGATGTCGTCGTAAAAGTAGATAGCACCTCGGGCACCACCCGCAATCAGGTCGAGGACGAGGGAGTTGTCCTTGCTGTGTGTAACCCGGATGTCGAGGGCGCAGATAATATCGGTCGTATCGAACGTGAAGAACTCCCACTCGGACTCCGGCGTCAGTGTTCCAACGACGAGACCGTCCTTGGTAGCTCCGACAATAGTCTTACCATTGGGACTAGAGTGCAGTAAGTGAATCGCCTGATCGACCTGCTTCGTAGCAAAAAGGACCTCGGCGGTGGGCTGCTTGAAATCGGGGCCCGGGTATGCGACAACCTCGCCCTTGGCGTGCTTCTTCCCCTCCGAGACGTACAGGACCTCCGTTGTCTTCTTCTGTCCCTCGATTGATGCCACGGACAGGTCCAGCGCCGTTTGCGACTGGGTCCGGAACTCGTCATAGACACCGGTTCCCTTCTTCCAGTTCACCCGCCAGACCCTGCCGTCAGAACAGGCCACCCAGAGAAAATCGGGCTTGAGCTGCGACTGGCGCGTGGCCACGATCGTGGGTGCAGACGACTTCTCCGCGTATGTGTTTTGGACCACCGGGAGGGCGATTCTTCGGATCAGTAGTGACTCGGCCACTGAATAGATTTGCAAGGATGTGTTGTAAGTGACGATCAGGTACCTGGTTCCCCTCATGTTAGACACCAGAAGTCGACCAAGAAACGCCTGCTGAGTTGGCACCTACTTCTCGTTCTCGGCAAAGATGGGATCGATGTCAGCCATTCGGCCGCCCATTGGCAGGGAAACCTGCCATCCCGCCTCCTGAGACTCCGTGTCGCCGAGCTTGACTAGCTCGGTCTCAATTTGGTCGTCGGTAAGGTTCTTCTGGAGCTGCGAAAGCACATTCAAGGCGCCGTCGCGGAGGTCGTCGGCGTCGGTGTTTCCGTTCTTTTGGCCATTTGCTTTGCCCGCCGTCTTTGTCTTTTGCCGAAGGCGCTTCGCCTGTCCGTCCCTCTCATTCTGCTCTCTCTTACGCTTCTTTTGGTCCTCCCGACTTCTCGGGGTCGAAGGGCCAGCCATTGTGTAGGTATAAATTTGCGCGAAAGCCGAGAACGATTTTCAAGTACGGGCAATTGGAAGTCGCAAATATCTCGAGGCGATGAGACAGGGAAGGAAAGCGGCGGCCTGGAGACTATTCTTCGTTCGGTAGTCTCTGGCTTTCAATCCTGCTCTGTTTCGCACACACGACCCTTCTTTCGTTCCTACTAAGAAAAAAAAAAGTTCGAGAGTTCCCAAAGAAATTTTGGTCCCGCCCAGTCGCCCGGCCATGCAATTGGTGGAGCTCCCCCACAATCAACACCGATAAGATAAGCAGCGGAGGAAATCACGGACCGACAAATTTTCTGTTCTCCCGCCTGGTCGCGCGCCTTCCACTGCGACAGGAAAGCCCCGGAAGTTTTCTCTGACGACGGCGACGACGATTTCGGAAGGCAACAGTCCCAGGACCTCAAACCACGCAACACCTCGAGAAGCGACGTACCGGAACCGTTACGGTCTCTCAGTGAACAAACGTCAAACTGCCACAGCTCCATTTCCGACTTTCTCAGGCACAATGATTATCCCCGTTCGCTGCTTCTCTTGCGGCAAGGTTCGTCGGCACAGATGATTGCATGCGATGGACGCCTGGTATCTAACTTCTGTCGTCAGGTCACCGGAGACCTGTGGGAGCGCTACCTCAAGCTCATCGACGACGGCATTACGGATGGGTGAGTCACCACGATCGCGATGCTGGATTGCGACACACGATAATTAACATTCACGTCAACAGTGACGCGATGGACCAGCTTGGCCTGAAGCGTTACTGCTGCCGCCGCATGGTCATGACCCACGTCGACCTTATTGAGAAGCTTCTCAAGTATGTATACCCTCGAGCAGCATGCGCCGAATCGTTTTTTCGAAAGCTTACAAACCCCTACAGGTACACACCGGACGGTCGCAACGAGAAGAAGATGTCCTTGAACCCGTAAAGTGCTCGGGATGGATTTCACGAATTGGAGTTTTTGGAAAACATTGGCATTGCAAGGCGTTAGGGATTCTCGAGGAAGGCAGAGTGCGCTGCGCGAATAGGAGAAAAGCTGTGCTCGAGCCGTGACGGAGCGTCAGCGAACATGTCCTTCAGTACAGATGGAAAGCTCCCGTCTCCGACTCCTACAGGCAGCGAGAACCAGCCACCTCAAAGCAAGCTCAGCAAGCGGTGGCAAGAGGCAAGTCGATTGGCATCGAGACAACCACAGGCCCGGATGCAACCCCGCCACATGGAAATTGACTGTGGTTGCAATTGTACGCAGGAATGCTATCTCGGAAGGTCTCGATTCTCCAAGATGACTCTACTAGTCTTCACGTCGCTCGTCATGTAATTAGACAGCATGTTGGGTCCTAGTCAATGGGCTCAACACCTGGTCGGCAGTACCAATTGTTTGCTGGACGACCATCTGGTTTCCCACAGTGACAGCTCTTCGAGAGATCCCTCCAACAAAGAACGCAGCTATATCAGGCGACCTATGAAACAGGTATTCACATGTGTGTAGTAGTGTCACACCCCAACAATGTTTCAATGCTCTAGCAGAATGACTGGTTCTCTCCGAGTCTGAAAGCAGCGCATCACTTTGATCTAGCGGTCAAGGCAGAGGTAGCAGCCAGTAGGCAAAAGTAGCTTTCATGTCAGTCCGCCTAGCGTGCTAATCGCTGACCACATGCGCCTTGCTGCAACGGCATATGGTGGGTGGTGAGACGGGGCTATATGGACGAAGAATATCAGTTCTAGCACAGCATGTACCGGCCAAAGAGCCTCCAGCATCTTTCCGGTCAGTGACGTTGTACAGCAGGCTGACCTTGGGGGCCAGAATTATACGCAAGGCGGAGTTCACCGATTGAACCTCCGCGATTGTCCTGGGCTCTGCAGAGAAACAGGCAGTCCGGGTACACGACCCGGGAGAGCCCAAGCCAATCTGCCGATTTCTGCCTGGTGCTTGTTTCGATTGTTGAATCCTGGTAGATGGTGACCCATTCTTCCTCGTTTTTTTTCCTTTTCGCGTGATGCTCCAAGCACCAACGGGGACATGGGTTTAGCAAGGCAGCGGGTGCAAAGTGCTGTGCTGGTCGTGTAGCAGTGGCTAACATGAAGACCCGAGGGTCTGGGAATGGCGCAGTGGTGGTTTCTGCCGCGAGATGCACCAACCAGATTTCCTGAATGGGGCCGTATCCGCCGAAGCTTTCATTTCGCGGATGGTGGTGATTTGTCACAGGACACAGGGTAGCTCCAACAAGCCTTGGTTTGCTGCACAGCGTTCAGAGTCTGGAGATACGTCCGCCTGGCCGAACTAGACTGACGCATATGCGGAACCGGAAGACCGCTCACAGATAAGCAAAACTTAGTGACAAAGACCCACAGCTCCATGGCATCGAGTTGTATTCGCATGAGTACAAAATTACTTCGGAATCCTGAGCTCGAGGGACTGGCGCAACCGCGAAAGGATTCGACTTTAGCGCGCAACTGCTACCGCGACTGGCTCTCCGGTGTCCAAAATACAGCATAACGCCAGCTTCCTACATGTCGTACAGAGCAAAGCCATACCGGATGGGGAGTCTTGAGCCGTAGAGAGCCCGCAGAGCTGCTTGTTGGCGCCTACGCGCGTTGAACTGCATGCGTGATGCGGTCGTGGCGTCAGGGATACCACGAAGCAAGCAGAGACCCCGGCTAGTCGCAGGCCAGCGTTCGGGAGGGGAGGGCTCACGGAGAATGGAGAGGGAAAAGATCTCATACCATCCTTGGCTAGTAGTTGGTTCCCTTTCGTTCTTGATATCTGGAAAATGAGTTTGCCGCAGGCGTCGGCGATATTGACATCGTATCTGATCTTTCGAAGCGTGGAGGGGTGGTGGGTGAATAGTCCGGCCCCTCCATCGACGATCAGCAAACTGGTGCCCGGCCACGGATTCCTGGGTCCTGGAGGCTGGAGCTGCACACCCCACCGGGTCGCTGGGGTTGAGGTGGTTTGCTTTTCCCAAAAGTCGTGCTAGCGCTGTGATCAGTCGAAGGCACCTACATGGTAGCCAGGGCTATCACTGTACTAAAACGATGGCTGGGATGCAATTCTTCAAGAAAATGACGGCCTCAATGGACGATGAAAAGTTCGTGTTGAGGACCAGCAATGTTACGCCTTCCAGGTTCTGGGCAGTTTGCGAAGCCTACCAAGCGTACTTACAACGTCGATGAATTTACGAAGCGAGCTGTTGTCAGGTGATGAGTCTGTCTGCGAGACATCAACGGGTCGCCGGGGACCCTGACAGGGGCGGGGTTTCCTTGAGCAACATAATTGTTGGGATGCTTGGCCGGATCTTGTTACCCGTTTCTATGTAGCGATTGCCCAGGATAACTGACTTGGGTTTGACTTTTGAGATGTGTGTAGCCTCTGTACGCCAATCTCAAGGAAAAGTTCTCCAAGGCAAGTCCGAACATGATTTGTTGTAAGCGTACCTTTATTCTATGTATGCTACTTCAAACAGGAACGACCATCGAGTTGCAAGAACTGAGTCACAAGTTTGGATGTCAGGCATCTCCTACTCTGTCTTCCCAAGGAAACCGACCAAATACTCATTGCAACCATGGGATAGGCTGCTGCCCAGCTGCCTAGGCAGGTGACAGAGTCTGGCTAGCAAGATTTTCGAAGAAAGACTCGAACCAACAGCCAACGCAAAACCAACGGTGAAGGAGGGATATGTACCCGCCAGTAGGATTTGAAGCCGCAACGGGCCCGGGCTTCCATCCAATCCCTACCACGGACGGTTTAAACAAACGGTAGGCTTGGGTGTGGCCTGTCACACCTGGTAGCGTGTGAATGAAGGTCGATCAGGGCCCACTCTGTGTCGAACGGTGCACCTCACTGCAGCATGGTGCCGCTACAAATTTCTCTCCCCCCCCCCCCTTCAATATCCGTAAGGTACTGAGGAAACGCCGTTCCAGATTATCGGAATCCGTGTTGCCATGAATAGAAAAGAGAAGCGGGGATTTGAGTACAGAGTACGGATTACATTAATGTCGAAACGCGGACGTCTGATGCGTGGCAGACACGTTGGGCTCGCGAAGAACTTGTTCTTATACCCTCCTACAACGATTAGCACTCTGTTGGTAGTACACACGATAGTGAAGTAAAGACTGGTGTATGAATAAGAGTACATCATCAACCACCTCTCTCTCGGCGTCTTACCTGATGAATGGTTAAAACCTGGCCCAATGTCTACTGACCGGATCAGGCGGATTGTCGCGGAGCAAACAGCGCCAGTCACACGGCTCAAGTCGGTTCTGACCATATGGCAGAGGTGTGGCTTTGTTTATTTGGGCGGCCGAGCGACTCCCACCACGCTTTTCCAAATTCTCGTCAAAAGTCGAAGGTACAGGTCGAAGAAGTGTTCGATTTCGTTGTTGGAGCCGGCAAATGAGTTTGTGGCCCACCGCAGCCTGCGCTGTTGAAAGTTGAAGTGAAGAGGTGTTGGGCGTCTGGTCCCAAATCCCAACGGAGCTCCCCCGCCTCGCACACACACACACATTCCCACCAGGGCGGCAAACAGGGACCGAGACTGGTAACGAAGACGTCCACGACAACGGACGGGCAGAGCCGTTCACAATGGTGCACGCGCATGTCACGGCCCCCAAATGCACAGTACATAAGCAACTCCAGGTAGCGTGACTGTGTTTCCCGCGTCTTCAATGACACGGCATCGTCAGATTGGCCCGCGAATCTCTCTAATGGGGGGACAAGAGGGCGTTGGAGGAGGTTGCGAGAGATATCCGCCCATCCATCCCCGATATGCGAGCAGGCACACTGCACGCAATCAGAAGAGGGACAAAAGTCCCAATTCAGACATGCAGGCCGCGGTTGATACCGTTGGGCCCAGCATACCGGCTCGGTCTAAACAACTTGTCGCCGCCGGCCTCAGTTTCGGTCAATCACGGAGGAAAGGGTCTTCTCTGTCTTGGACTTCAGATGATTCTGATACGATGGGTAGAAATTGGAATTGACGGGGAGGAATTCTCGTGAAAGTTGTCCCACGTCAGAGTCGAATTGAGGTATAAGAAAGCAAATCTTCGGTGAGGTATCCGTACCTTGGCAGACAATACCTCAATGCCACCACATTCACTTCCATTTCGCCAGGTTAATTGGCAGTCTCGCTGCTCCGTACTACCCATGATCAAATACGTTCCTTCCATATATTCCTTCGTACCTACCTTACCTTGCCTACTATACACCTGACGTTTAATTCCGCAAACAGCCATTGCCTGCCTCCAGGCCTGGAAGGGACGGCGGGGCGGTTGAGAACCAGCTGAGGAAGGCTCTCTCTTCCCTGCTATTTCCTTTGGAGCAGTGGTGGCTCTGGATCTTTCCTTCCCTCTTGGCCGGGCGCCCCTTGCCTTTCCATCACCCCTCCAAAGTGTAAGGCAAGCCCCTCCGTCCTAAGTGGGGCCGTCAAGTGCAGGGGTCGGTTGTGGTTCACGGGCACGACTGGACGGAAGCGAGACCCACCTTTTGCTAAGCGCCGACGCCTGTCTGCTTCATGCAGCCCACAGCTCGACGTCGCTCTTCTCATCCACCGACACCACCTTGTGCCCAACTCTGACTGGTTGAACCCGTCAGGAGGTGCGCTGCTATGCCCATGGGAGAAGACGCGCAGCTGCATCTCTGACTGGTTCATCCATCGCCTTCTATGTACATGCTGCCCGGTGCCTGCCTTAACTAAGGTTGGCTCAAGTTCGTGGAGAATGGTGTATCCTAGTATTCCTGGGAACGAAGAAGGCGCAAAAGATGGTGGTGGTACCGCGGTGGTTGTCTCCGACTGAGGTGCGGCCGACCCAGCTCGCGGATTGGATCCCACCCCGCGGACCTCTCTTCTTTCTGGCCACCTCGGCCCTCTCTACTTCAACGATTTGACTTCCTAGCCTTCTTTCCCTTCGTCCTGTCGGATCTGCTCAACTGCCAGCGAACGCTACGACGATCCATTTCTGGTCTCCCCCTTCTGATTCATTCCCATGTGAGGTGCCTGTCCATAGGGCGGATCGGAACTAGGTCAACCATTCAGACAACACACAAATTTCTGACATTTCTGACTTGACTCTCCTCCACAACTCAAATCCAGCTTGTCTTGCTCCTTGAGAAGCACCGAGAACACCCATTCTTATTACTGCTGGTGGTCATCTTTCCCTGCAAATCATAACAATTTCTCGCCGTCCGTTGGAGAGCTGGCTTCTTTCTTTACCCGTACCACCGAACCGCCCGCCTCCGTGCCACCTGCCGGGTGTCTGTACGGTGGACGTTGGACATCCACATCAACCGCGCCGTCTCGAATCAGCTGTCGCCTGCTCTTCTTCTGTCTGTCTATCTGCTTTTTCCATTCTGTCAACTTTCGCTTCTCTTGCCCAGCTGCCCGAGACCGCATAGACGACGAAGCCGTCAGTGGAGCCGTGCTAGTCACCCGTTTGGTCGAATCTTAGCCGCAGCTCTCTCTCAACCGCCCTTCCCAAGAGACGGGCATACTGCAGCATACCTACCTAAGCTTAGGTCGCAGAGACAGACGTACAGCTCTCAGCCTGATCTGGCCCTCTGAAATTCCCCAATTCTCTCCCAGCAAGGCCGTGGTCGCGTTGCCCCCAGGTCGAGCCAACTTGCCTTCCCCATATATTGTCCCTTCAATCGTCAGGATCGCTATTTGGGTACTACCCCTGCTGTCACAGTAGACCCGCCGCGACGCAGCGAAACCAAACCTGGCCCTGTCGATATTTCGCGTGAGCGAGGCACAGACACGGTCAGCTAGGGTCGGCCTGGAGCCACCCCGGTCTCCGTACCGTTACTCTTCCCAGCACTGAGGTAGCAGTAGGCACAGCTCCTCTTAAACTGCCCTCCCCACCCTCTCGCTCTCGAGCTTCTTCACTCTCGAGCCTCTATCGCTAGTCTGGAAGCTTGATGATCTCCGGGCCGTCGTCTACGAGACCTTCCAGCACAGCTTTATTCCTTCGCCTCGACGGCCTCTAGGATCACGACCAACACCATTTAACCAGTGCGGCCCAGGAGTAGACCCAACCGACCAGAAAGCAAACTGCGTGGGGCTCCCGAGGCATTCTCGACTTTGAAAGCCGCCGAATACCAGTCTGCTGGACAGCCCGGCCGACTTCCATCACTACCTGCGTCGGTGCCGGAAGGTTATCGCATACGAACGAGTCGAGAGACTGACGATGGCACTCGAAGCCCCTCTCCGGTCGTCTATCGGAAGTCAAATATCTGCTTATTCCCATCACAACGATATGTCTGTCTCATCTCCCGACAACGGTTCTTTTCAATCTCCTTTCGCCAGCATGTGAGCAATTATGGTCGTACGGTGTCGTTGCAGTTCCCCAGCTTATATGTGGGTATAGGTCTTCGAACGCCTCAGATCACTCCGGCCGCAATTCTCTGCGCCCCAACTCCATTCAGAGAGTTCCGTCGACAAATTTGAACTTGATGAGCCCGAGCGATATTGTTGGACCTTCACCAGTCACTTCAACAGGTACTGAAACAACAGAAATCGAGGACGAAGAGGCGGAGGAGGTTCAGGCCCGGCCTAATGTTACCAATCCGGCACCACATCCTCAGGTTAGTCTTCTGGATGCCATTCCCAAGGCAGGCAGCGTGACTGACCCATCGTAGCTCATGATGCTCTCGACCAACATTCCCGATCATTTGCGGCAGAGTAGCAGTGAAGAAGCCGTATCAGTCATACATGCGCCGGAAAGCTTCCATAGCTGGGTAAGTATCTCATGGAAACTCTTTCCCAAACAGGCAGAGAGTAACCTTGGGACAGGCCTCTACGGAGCCGACAGTAAAGCCGGATCAAAGCAGCACGAGATCATCACCAAAGACCGATACAATGAGTCTTCCATCCGTCACTGATCATGCAATTAAGGTACGGCTGCCTAAAAGCTTCACCTGAAGCCATTCAAGTACTGAGCTAGAACAGTCGAGATCCCCTGGGCTGCCTACACCACCTCCTCTCTCCACAGATATCCGGCCCGTTCGGTACAGTCTAGACAGCGCCACACCACGCGCGCAAGACCTCCACGACATGCTTAATGAGTCGTCCCGGCTAAGGTCTAGCAGCACAAGCAGCCTTGAAAGTTTGTATATTCCACACACTCATCCACCGACTGAATGGTCTAACGCGAAACAGAAATCGACGAGGCTAGAGAAGTAGAGACCGATACCGAAAATTACGACGAAGAGCCCTTCGCTACCCCTGCCTTGCCTCAGGAGGATTCGGAAATCAGGGCTCTACGAACCGCTCTCCAAGAGTGCTGGACATTGTGTAACACGTTAGCGAACTTGAGCTCGATTCATCGAACACGGATGTTCAATAGCTCAGGTACTCCCGATGCTCACGAAAAAGCTTGGATGGCGTGTTGGAGGCTTTGCCAGCGCCTGTATGACAACCGCGACGAAGACCACTATGATCACCACGTCCGAGAGAATCTCGATCATTGCCGAGATTTTTGCCAGTCCCTTTTCGACGTCCGGCAGAGGAAGGATGAAGTTGCTGATTCTGTTTTGCGAGTCAGTTTCGAACTGAATAACCAGTGAGTCCATTCCAGAGATCCACAAGGGTTGGACAAATTAGCTAACCATGATCCAGTCTCTATAGCGCTCAGGACATCCAGAACCTCCCAGAACCCTTCCGGGAGCGTACTTTAGATTTCTATATTACTCTTTGCCATCGATTGATGAAACAGCGAAGCGAATTGGCCGATGAGACGGACTCTTTGCTGAAGGCGTGTTGGTCACTTGCCGAGATGCTTTTCAGTCTGAGACAGAATAAGCGTGACGGAAGAGCTCCTGACGAGGAGCTCTTGTGTTCCGCGGTACAGGCATGCTGGGAGCTTTGCGACCTCTTCAGAGACGGGTGGACTCAAGTGCGGCCAGACCGAAACACCCCACGACCGAGCCAGACGAGCTTCTTCGGCCATCAGCAGCAGTATGATCAACCTGCTCGAGGTGAGAGCAGAGCGTCGAACCGATCATCATACTCAAAGAGGGAAAGTCACAAAAGCCTGACCGAGGAACGGCCACGGAAGCCGCCACCAGTTCCTGAAACTCCCGTGACCGAATTTGAAGACACGCCGATCTCTCCAGAGAGCTCCTCACCCCGAGTGCCAAATATTCTTGTTCTAGGCACAACATCTGATAGCGGACGCGGGGGACGGTGGTCAAGCAGCGCTTCGCAATTGTCGAGCTACTCGCAAAGCAGCAACAAGACATCAAGCACGGCAACAACGACTACGGCAGGCGAGGACAGCAACAGCAACCGCATCAAAGCCCTCGTCATTAAGGCTGCCATGAACGTTGGCTTTACTCGAGACCCGGCTCTTGACAGTAAAGCCGAGAAGTCAGCTCTCCAAGCCTTTGTCAAGCATATGCCCACGGGCTCCTTCGGGTCCTTGCCTGCGCACTCGACACTTTTACAGCACTACAAGAACCTTGTGCATGCCGATTCGGCGTTCAGGGGATCCTCGCTGCTTCCGGCCCATGGCAAACGTATCTCGGCGCATGACCTGGCCAAAAGCGTTCACTACATGAGCCAAAGATCTAGCCAGTATATATTCTTGCGCGACCTGTACAGGCTCGTGTTTGGCTTCCCACCAGAGGAGGGCGAGTCGAGGAAATCAACAACCATCGTGGTCTGAACGCCTACTTTCCCTCAAATCTTGTCCCATTTCTCTTGTTTTGATTTTTTTTCCCAACTGCATTGTTCTTTGGGGTTTCCCCACGAAAACCACTATTACAGCCTACTTTACCACCCTCACAAGGCAGAGCAAAGCGGGTAGGTCGATTGCGAAGAAAAGTCTGCTTGGAGAGGCCAGAGTTTCAAGCAGACGCACACATACACACAAACAACATGCAAAACAACACACAACATACCTGGGGGAGAGCGCCCGTCTGTTCGTTTCTACTGCACTAGATACCCATCGTGGACGGATTTTGGCGCTGGGAGCTTGGACAATGGGAGGCTAGAAAATCGTGCGTCTTTTTCAATGTCGTTATGAGAACAAGGGAGGCTGGGAGCGTCGTTCGTTACATTACATGTCACAATGGATATTGTGGCCAATCTGGGAGGAAATCATCTTATAGTCTATGTCGCAATGACCACCAACTACCTATCTATATATTTGCAAGCTACCCTGCCTGCGTACCGAAGGTCCAAATATGGTGAGTTCATTGTCGAAGAGGAGTTTGTCGAAAAGGAGGAATCTGCTGAAAAAGGGAAGAAAGGGGGTATCGTATTGGAGAGTAGGCAAGGTGTTATGTGATGCTTCGTTGCGTTCTAGGCGACAAAAATTGTATGTGAACTGTAGCTCAGAGATCGTATGCAAGAAGGAAAAATGCGGATCGCAGCTCTACTCGAGAGGACCAAAGAACTGCTGAGAATAGTCGGCATGGCCCTGTGGCTCTGCACTGTACATGAACAGTTCTTCCCACTCGGCATTGCTCACGTTGTTCCAGTCGACGCTGATGCCGCCAGAGAAGCTAGCGACGTTCTGGCCTTCGATTTGTTGCTGCGCAGAAATTAAGGCTCCGGAATCTTGGTATGTTCCGCTGCCGCTGGCCATCGACTCAGCATATGTATAAGGTGCAGAAGTTTGGGTGTACTGTGGAACGAGCAGATCTAAGTTGAATCCCGGTGCGGTATCATAACCAGTCACGCCCTGCCAGGTGCCTGATTGGGTACCCCAGAAGTTGCTCTCTTCCTCGTTGTAGGGTGCTTCCCATGGCGCAAATTGCGTGGACTGGGAGAAGTTGAGGCTGGGGCTCGCAGATAACATCGTTGGGTCTGCCCCTGTCCACGTGGGAGCAGCTGATGGATCTGGTTCTTGGAACATAGTATTCTCGAAGTTGACGGTGCTATAGCCAGATGGGCCCATCGGGCGATCGAGCTGTGCGAAAAACGAGCTGTCAGTTGTTGGTCCTTGAGGATACTCATTGTCGATGCTATTGAGAAGCTTTGTCAGGGGTGACAAACTGGGGTCTGCATGCACATGATCTGTGCCCATTCTCAGATTATCGGGGGTTACAGGGACTTCGGGAAGATTGACATTGAGTAGGTTCAACGCTTCATCATCGTGTCCGGTCGTCTGGGGTGCGTTGTTGTTTGGCATCGGGGATAAATACTGAGCAGGGAGCTCCTGGGAGTATGTCTCCTGCGGCTGGGTCTTCAAACGCTTCGGGATGCTCTCTTGAGGTTCTTCAAGCACTGGAGGAGATAAGCCTGAATCCGGGGCTGTGATCGATCCATCACCCGCTTCCTCAAGCTCATCCCGCTTTCGCTTCTGCACTGTAGAAGGGAAGAGCATTTGCTCGTAGTGCTGCTGAACAGGCTGTACACCATACGGGCGGTCGGGATCCTCCTCGAACATGTGCAGAATCTTTTCGTGTGCGGCAGCATACTCCTCTGCGTCGATGCGCGCCTGCTCATCCTGCTGTACCTCGTCGGAGGACAAAGCCAGCTTCCCGGGAGCCTCTGAGGGAGAATTGTATACATAGCTTGCCAAGACCTGCAGCATGTGATCCTCAGAGACTGAATCATCCTCATTCGTAGAAGATGTGAAGGATTGATCGTTTTGATCGTTTTCGCACTGGATGGGTGCAACCATTGCTTCCCTAAGTTGGTTAAAATTAGTAACTTGGGTCACGTCTCCCGAGAAGCTGAACCGACTTACTGCCATGGAGATGGAACCGCAGTCTTTCTATTACCGCCATTGTCCGGGACCTGTCCATTGATCATTGCCGTGCTGCCAAAAATTATCAGAAAGTGGCACTCTTCACATTTTTCCAAGCAAAGAAGGAGAGAGTAAGGGAGGCGTAGGCCAAAAGGTAGTAGTGAAAGGGCCCATCGAGGGAGGAAACTTACCCGAATTCAGGATCATGGCCATATTTGGCTCTGACGTATTTCAATTGAGCCATGGTGAGAGTCTTGCTGAATTGCTGTTCGTACTCGCGCAAGGTGTCCTTATGGTCCTTGTCCTTGACGAGGCTGTGATGGAGAATGAAGATAATTTCTTCCTCAGTATAGGTGATTTGACCAACCATCCTTAAGGTTAGTCGTTTGTTTGCTGTATTTGCAGGTGTCTCAGGTGCATACCGAGAGGCCGTGTATCGTGGATAGGATAGCTTGGGTTGGATTGTTTGGGACAGTGTGTGAGAAGAGGAAGAAGATTTGTGTGAAGCTTGGAAGTTTGGAAGTAAGGAAGTTTAGAAGTGAAAAACTTCGGAAGTAAGGAAGCGAGGAGAAAGGACCGAAGGAGAGTGATCCACGAGTTTTCTCAGAGGGAGGGACGAGTGATTTTTGAAGAGGCAGTGATTCAGGGCCACAGATATACATAGAAGATGGAAGGAGGTTCTCCTGGGGGAAGGAGCCTCCCGTGAGCTGGACACGCAGCACGGCAACGGGTTGGGACGGACGGTAAACTTGGTTGCACCTGATTATTGTATGTCAAGGCATCAGAGTCATCTATCATTGAATTCTGTTTTGTCTAGATCTAATTCTAAAATGCGAGGGCTGGCCTATGCCATTATCCATCGTCTAATCTATGTCTTGAGTCGTCTTCAAGCTCGATCATTTCGCCGATTGCGCCTCTAGTATTCATATTTGCTGCTTGCGTGCAAAGATTCCCCACCAACAAGTCACGTCGGTGCCCTCCTTGTCTTCACCCCAGTCATCCTGGCCATCGAGTGTTCCTTCCTCAATGCATAGTAGAGGGTTTTCCTGGCTTCCCATAGCATCTCGGAAAGCCTTGAGAAGCTTTTTGGTGGTTTCGTCTCGTAGCGGGACCATTACAACTGCGCGAGCATCGTCTGCAATTGATAGCTGCTCAGAAAAAGCACCTGCCAGAAGCCCTGGATGACAGTCGTTGTAAAGGGGATCAGCAGCGAGGACAACCTATGGGCTATATTAGCAGTCTCTCCGTAGCAATTTTCAATAGTCATGTACCTTGAACTGGTTTCGTTTGCCAAAGAGATCCTGATCAACTTCCTCATCCCCTGAGCCACCCCAAGTAAGTGCACCAGCGTTCAATGAACCTCCCAGCTTCTCCACCGTGGCACGGTTGGCCTCGACGTTATGGCAGAGATTCGACATGATGTCTGGCAAGTCGCTGAGAATTACATGAGCCTTCCACAAAGCTGCCGCCGCAAGTCCAAGTAGGCCTGTGCCAGAACCTAATTCCAAGATAGATGGCCGCGGCTCGCCCAGAGATTCGTCAAAGAGCCGGAAGAGAGCTGTTGAACCAATAGATGGCAAGTGCTTGGCGAGAACGTAAGAAGACCCCCAGGTCTTGAGACCAAGTGAGTCGCCGGTCAGGGGCGGCTCCCGGATGATGAGCTCAAAGGTCGGCGTGAGGTCCTCTTCTCTAAAGGGCCATCGCCGGGTAATCTCGCCCATGGCTACGTGCGGCATTAGAGGCTGCGCAGTTCAGGAAAGGCAGCAGTCATTGTCAACACGCACCGGTTCTTCCACATCGTTCCGTCATCCTGCGGCTAGCCTCTGACCAGACTTCCTCCTTCTTGTCATCGTCCTCAATCCAGGAGAGGCCGCTCTTGATGATGGACGATAGGTACATCGTTACTTCGCGCCGGAAATACGCCGTGGCCTCTTGTTCATGAATGATATCAGATCGCCTGCGCTTGTGACTCCATACCGGAGGGCTAAGTTCCAGTTGCTTCAGCGTGCTGAGCACGTCATCACTTGACGGCTTTTGCCACATCTGCGGGAAGTCCTTCGGTTCGAGTATCATGGTTGCGGATTAAGAATCTACGTGCAGTCGTATACTATGAACACCTGAATCCGGTAGAATCCGCATCAAAAGAGAAGAAAATTAAGCAATAACGTTGACCAGAAGAAAAGGTGCGTCGTCGATGAGAAAGTGAGAAGGGGGACATGTGCCTCAGCGTCACGGAAATTTTGTGCAGCGGTCTGGACCTGACCAAAGACCCCATCGCCAATACAAAACCAAAGGGACCTCACGCAGGAACCACAGCGGCAGGGCGATAAGGATCCTTATCGCTAAGCTTCGGGACCCATAAAACGTGGATCCAGATCTGGCAGGTGGGGGATTGCTTCGAGGGGTCTTTCCTTCCGAAGGTACCTGCCAGTCCAGCTCACTGATTGGTTAGCCTCATTTGCAAGGCTGCCGCCAAATACCCTTGCAACCCCACGTCACAAAAAATTCATATATAAAGCGCCAATTTCCGCGTAGAGTCTGACTCTTCTTCTTTTTTCCCTTCTCCAAGCACCGTCCTCTTCAACGCTGCGTTTCTATGCTACAAACGGAGAGATGTACGCGCAAGCGGAAGTCTCTCATTTTACCAAACTGGCATATGAGAAATTCGGAGTAACTTCTTCACACCACTCACCCAATGTCGCCTGCCTAGTGCGGGATGACGGGTCTGCCCGCGAGGGTCTGGCGTGACTTCACGTCTGCAATTGGCATCAGAAAAGCAGGGCCCGGGCCGTTCTCATGTATACCCTGATTCCCTCTGGGGAGAGGGGGAAGATGAGCTCTGGACTCGGTGTCCCTATGGGAGAGCCGTTGCGAAAAGATTGTGCAGAGCACTTGAGTGCGATACGCAGCGTCTGGATCCTGGCTGGCTTCGGCTGGCCAGGGACTTGACAATTCAATTCCGATCATTCTGTTGAGGACGGTGCTTCATCTTTTTTTCTTCTCAGGTAAGATACATTTTTTTTTTTTTTTTGCGGTTTCGGCTTCGTGAACCAAGGATACTACTGACGAAGAAATATGCCCTCCTAACAATGTAGTCTATGTCTCCCTTACTCCACCTCAAACTCCAACCTTGACCGACACATTTACCGCAGACGCCAATCGCCAACTTCCACGTCAGCCAGTACAGTACAATTCCAGCAAGAAGCGATCGACGACGCATTAGAATTTGACCATTGCCTACCGCATCACTCACGACGGGCTCTAAGATCCTGACTGTTGCCCTTCGCTACTGGCGGCCCAATATGGATCTTTGGACTTTGTGCTTCCCATGCTTCTAGCCGGCAATTTAGATAGTACGGCTCTCCAGACGTTAGAATTGGTATCGGCCAGACTCCGAGCTCTATCGAGGCGCTCCACCAGATCTTCGCAAACGAGATTCTCCTCTGGGGCCTTTGCGGCCAGATCGACGATATCCCTGACAGCGTCAACGACCACCTTGAATTGGCCCTCGGCGTCTGGTGATTTGTCGTCAAAGCCTGAAGCTGGCGGCCAGTTCTTCATCTGAGCGCCTTCAAGTGACTGCAAACATGTCTCCACCTGCGCCATTACTGCATCGAAGTTGAGCGGCGGCGGCGATCTTTCCCTGTCCGCCTCCTTCTTGCCTTCCTCTGCATCCTTCGATATCATGTCGACCCATATCTGATTCTTTGTCGCTGGGCTGGACTCCTTGATTTTCTCCACCTGCCCCAGGAACTTTTGGAACGCTGCGTCGTAGACCTCGTGTGCAATTTCAAGCTGGTCATGTACTTGAACTAGTAATAGCCTGATTTGAATGAGGCGATACTGGCGGGACCGGACAGCGGCTTCACGGTCTTGGGGAGCCTGCTGAACGAGCGAGAGCCTTGCCACGGCTTTCTGAACGCGCTCAGTTTCGTCTTCGCTGCTTTCGCCTCGACGGCGACCGCGTTCCCTGGCTCCGGAATTGTCATCTCGGTGTCGACCACTCGATAAGGGGCTCATGATCGGTGAGGATGCCCGTTCGTGCGGCGGCCGCACGTAATAGTACGGCGCGAGATATGCCTCAATCTCAAGCGGCGAGGGCGGCGGCGGGTATCGCGCTGGGTAGGGCCTTCGTGGGCTGTAGTGGAAAGGAGGATCGTACAGGTCACGAGACATTGCACGTTGTGGCAAACTTGTTGGTGACGTTGGTTCGCAACAGAAGCTTGAGATTGCTTCCTTTCGAAGTCCAAGAGTCTCCGGCTTGGAAAGGTGAAATGGGGGGAGCTATCTGACATATTTGAATGGCTGGAGATACCCTGCCATCCTGCGAACGATCCTATTTCTTTCTTCTCAGGCTAGATGACCACAACTTGGATTTCCATCATGTGAAAGAAGTCTTTAGCTGTCGAGAAACGGGAGTCCGCACGTCGATTTTCTGCAGCTTGGCATGGTATTGGACACAAAGACAAACCGCTCTCTGCGCCTTTCTTTCATCTTGCGAGTTTCCACTCGTCTTTGTTTAGGCAATGCTGCATATTTGCTCTTCTTGTTGATAAGGCTCAGGTACCGGACCATTATCTGTCTATTTGCATTTCCACCCTCGGAGTTCCTCAACTCAAGATAAGTGAGAAGGCACGCAGACTAGCTTTTTGGATACATAGCTAAAGGGAATCTACACATCTTTCTCTTGTCAAAACTTGACAATCAGCGTAGTCTCCAGCACAAATCACATAGAATTCGAGACCTTTTTCTTTCACGAACAGACAACCCCCATCTCGCTGCAAGCTTGCATGAGAATACGGGGCAGTCTCTCGCAACTCTCCCATCATTGCATCTTTCATGATTTCCTCTCTTGCCCTTTCAATGTCCCACCCCATCTCAAACAAGCCTGCCTTTTTCGCTTTTGAGCATTGCATATCAGTAGCGGCATAGCCGACCAAGGATGACGTGGGATCTCCCAAGTAAAGTTTTCGTGACATTGCAACATCAGACACCGGTAGCAACCGCCACACCTCCAAACAAAACAAAACAGACAACCCCGACCCCGGGAAAGGCTAAATAGAAATAAAACCCAACGGCGGGCGGGCCGGGAGCCGCCGGCGTACGTGTGGGGGTTCTGGAGGCTGGAGCATTAGCTTGGCAAACCCGGGACTCCTCCTCCACCTCCCACACCTTCCGGTCCCCCCGCTATTACGGAGTACACTGAGTAGAAATGTGACTTGTAGGTATGGAAAGGAAAGGTAAGTTTGTGACTTCATACCCGTCAGCCTACCAACACATCGAAGGATCGTAGAGGAACAAGCCCGCCCATTCAAGCTTTTCCTGTCTCTTTGCTGGACAAAAACCTCGGATAAAGCGTTTCATAGAGAAAGGGTCACTGATGCCTTTGGTGGCGCACATTCCGATGTTGGTTTGCTTTTTTTTCCCCCAAAAGGTTTTCACTTTCTTCATTGGGATCCTACCTGCTGCAGGTCAGGATCGCAGGATGCGGGTGGGCAAAGCAAACCGCCAAGTTTGCACATAAGGTGCCTTACAGATAACTCATTTTCTGCTTAAACTCTTTATGGGGCAAAACCCAATCTGTCATCTGGCTTTGCTTGTTTGCCTGCAGGGAAGACTAGATCTGGATAGCGGGAAAAAAGAAAGAAAGAGAAGGAACAAATGACAAGATCGAGAGACATGCGTAGGTATGCGTGAGGTTCTTGGATCCCCATCTCCAACAAGATCTGGATCAAAAGTTGAGGCATTGAGACTTGAGAGCCTCGTACGCAGCTTACTGAGATGCTCTCCTCCACAAAAGAAACATTCAAGTTTCCCCTTGGTTTGAAGCGACGAGGAACAAAAATGCTCACGTAAGGAAGATCTCTACCATGTAAGAAAGCAAAGTACCAAAAGCCGGGACCCCCCCCCCCCCCCCTCCCCCAAAGCACTCATCTTCCTGTAACCCCGATTTCTAAGAACAAAAAGAAAACGAGCAAAAATACTAGAACAATCCATCTCCGCTGACACATCTTCTTCTTTTCTTGCTTTGCCCACCCAAACCCCGAGCGCAAATCTCCCAATACCCATTTTAATGAATTGCGGGGAGCTCTGGTGGAGTCGTAACCTCCCTCCTAAGCGGAAACTACCGCTGGTCCTGCGGAACAACGGGTGAGAATTTTGGGAAGCCACCTCCATGTCACGATGCGAGCAAAGGCAGGTCGGGTCAGGTCAGATCAGATCAGAAAACCTCGCAAATCATCACATCGGTCATTTTCTTCCTCCACAAACGCAAGTATCTCAATCATGAAAAGCACCAGCCTGGCAATCGTCGCGTGCCAAAAAAAGAAAAGAAAAAGTATCTGTACGGATATCCGGCCCCGTATTATCCAGAAAATGGAGGAGAGATGAAGGAGTAGGCGCACGGCCGTTTTCGACAGGACAAACAGCCAAGGATTTGCAGGTCTGCAGCCAGGGGGCGGGGGTCCCGTCATGACGTTGACACCCTGTATGAACAAACGCCGCCTCGTTTCTCAGCATTCGTAAGGATACACCGCATCATCACTGCTGTCGACTCAAGCTGCGGGTATCACCAGGACCAGTAGTCTCAATTCAAATCAACCAGTCATAGTCAGGCAATGTAATCGTTCAAATGACTTTCATTTGGATACTGTTCTGTTTTGTGTAGCTGACTACCACCTGGTATCAATCAAAATGAAGAAGACAAGAAAATGAATATCTCCAAAAGGGAAATATTCCTGGCCCGCATCCACGGTTTACCAGTTGGCTGGTTTTTTTTCCAGATTCCATGCAATCCTATATGCTGGTCGCCAATGCCCGTTCCGTCCCCTGTGATGCAATCCCAGCCCAAGTGAAAAGAAAAGGAAAAAGGTGAGAAAATCATTTCGCTGTTGCTGATGCTTTCAAGTGGCCGTCCAGTCGAGGACTCTCTTGAGATGTCCCGAAAAATTATCGCTTTTTCCAAAGAAATCCCAAAACACGTTTCTGCGCCTTCGCCTTCGCCTTTTTGGCTGGGGCTTCTTTCGCCGTCTTCTTCGTCGATACGTTGCTCTTAGAAAGCGGCCGTTCAATCAGTTTGCAATTGTCCTTCTTGGTCCCTCCCTAAGCGACCGCGATGGGGGCGCTGCTGGGGACGCTGTTTGGAGGCGGGCATTCCTTGTAAATCTCAATCTTGAGAGTTTTCAGCCGCTGGCGCATGTCGAGGAGATCCGCCATCTTGTCCTCGGGTGGGTTGCGCATGTCTGCAATCTCCCAGTGCAGAGCCTCATACTTTTCATAGAACACCTTGAAACGCGCGGCTTTGCTGACCAGGTCGGGGCTGAGCCCGCGCTGACGCTTAGGGGCTTGCTTGGTCCGGGCGCTCTCGTTGGAGTCGGAAGATTCCATAGCCTTGCGCTTCTTGGGTGGTGCTGAGTGTTCAAGATCCGATGCGTTCGTTGGCGGTGACGAAGCCAAAGGCGATGACTTGGCCGGTGATGTATTTTTGCTCTTGAGAGAGACGCCAGATGAGTTGCGGGATGATGCATGTGAGGGTTCTGCGGGCCGTTGCTTGAGGCTGACGGGCGCCTTGATGGGCGCCTTGGGCTTAGCACGCTTGGCCAAGGGGGCGCCAGAACTTGAGCTGCTGTCGTCTGCCTCCTCTTCCCTCTGTCGCTTGGGAGGCTGTGGTTTGGCCGCCTTGGCAGTCTCTCGTGGAGGCTGAGGCGACTTTTCCTTGGGCCTCTCAATTGATCTTTCCACAGTCCGCTCTACAGGCTTCTCAACTGGTCTGGCTTTTGCCTTGGGCACAGCAATCTTCGGCTTTGGTGGGAGTGCATGTTCGATCCTTCTCTTGGGGGCAGGTGCAGCTGCAGGCGCTGGCCTGGGCTTGGAAGCCACAATGCTCGCCATCGGCTTGTCCTCTGAAGACTCTGAATCCGAGTCTGAGTTGGTCACAAACTCTGCAGAGAGAACCCGGCCGTTCTTGCCAGCTGGGGCTGCTTTCTCCTTTGCCTTCGTCGGCGCGGCCTTGGGCGTCGCGGGCTTCTTGTTCGTAGACAAGAGACGCTTAACCTGAGAGTCGGCAGCCTTCTTCGGTTTCGGCGGCAACGGATTCGATGATGATCGTGACATTGTCTCGCCGCCTTTCATCTTGAGAACGTCTTCGTCGCCATTATCGCTTGTCGCATCGCTGACTTTGATCTTGGGAGGTGGTGCGGCGGAAGCCTTGGCGATATTTGCCTGCAACTTGCTGAGGATCTTGCCCTTTCCTCGCTCTTCCCGGGGCAAAAGCTTCTGCCACTCGGTTTCCGTTGTTGCCAGCCGCATCTTATCGAATTGACGGATTGCGTTGTCGATCGCTTTCTGTCGGGTATCTTGGGTATCATATTCGTACTTCCACACGTCCAACTCTCTCCAGTAGTTCTTTCTCAATGCCCACATCTGCGTATCCGGCTCGAACTGGGCCACCTTCTCCAGGGCAGGCTTGAAATCTTCGTCTTTGCCTTCCCATAGGCTCTCCAGGTAGTCGGCCGGCCGCTCCTGCACCGCTAGTTCATGTACAATCATAGATCTTTGCTCCTTGGACTTCTCGACGATTTGTTGCGAAGAAGCGTAGACAGGATTTATCGACGGTGAGCTGACGGCTACCAGAGCCGGTGACCCTGAGGGCGATGACTTGCCGCCACCATTGCCGTATGACGCCATGCTCGACAGCAACTTGGACTTGGCCCCCTTTGCCGTGGGCTTCTTGTTGGTGCCCGGCAGCGGCCTATCCATGACCTTTGATCTATTACCCTTGTTAGTTGTGTCATGGCCACCATGACCCAGCCACTGTCAACATACTGCTTCTTCGATGCCGTCGCCGCTGCGATGGAGTTCTGCAGATTCTCTATATCTGAGTCCATCCCGGACGACGAGGTTGAAGGTGCACCCTTGGCCTTGGCCTGCTCGCCCTTCTTGGGAGCCTCGAAGCCGGGCAGCTTCTTCCATAGTGAGGAGGTTTGTGGTAGTCGTGTAGCTCGTTTCGTCGATTCGAATGGTTTCGTGAGGAAGAGGTCGTGTGAGAATGTCGCGGAGATGGGAGAGAGGGTGTGGGAACTGGGCCCGTAGAGCAATGTCTTGGTAGCGAGGCAGCATTAGTATCTGTCAACGAACAGCGCTTCCGCTAGCGGGCGGGACTCGTTTGTGTTGGCATCGGACGGCAGCAGATGTCCCAGATGGGCAGCGGTGCACTGCTTTCCTCGCCTTGCATACAGGTACAAGTGCCAGCTCTTCCCGTCGGGAGGACAAATGAATTGTTCGAAGGGGGTTCAAGAAAATGGGCAAAGGATAGCGTTGCGTAGGACTTACCGGGCTGCTCCCCAAGGACAATTGGAGGTCCTCACCACCCTGTACACACTTGATCATGTCCTCGAGTACATGGTCAGAAAGATTGATGCAGAAAGCCTGTGGTGGTACAGGGTTTCCCGAGGCGGCCGAGCTCTCAAGAATGAGGCCGGATTCCGGAACCTTGAGTGAAGAAGGCATCTTGGTTCTCTCTCTCGCTCTCTCGGATCACGCGAATCAGCTGTGTTGAGGGTCGGTTGCACCTCGCATGCTCCGGCTCAGCTTTCGCCTTGCGAGCAAATATTTCGAGTAGAACTAAGAGTTGGACAAGTGTAGAGTCGAATGTCGAGTCGGGGTATCGGCGGACAAAAGGAGGTTGTTGTTGGGTTTTGGTGGTTGAGTTGCGTCTATTATTCTCGCAGGCGGATTATGGGGCGGGTCGGCAGGACGTCACATTGCCATGGCGAGGTTGAATGTGGACTCTTCCGGCTTCGCAAGAAGTGAATGGACGAGGACGGGGCGTTGGGGTTTGAGGCTCGAGGCTTGCCCTTTTCGTCTGGAGAATGGATGTAAAGAATGATTCACCGCAGTAGGTAAACAAGCGAGAGAGAAGCCTTGTAGACGACAGGGTGAGGAGGAGGTGAAGATGAGAGTGAAGGGAAGGAAGTCGAGATCGGGGACAAGAGGAGAGTAGCGGAAAGGAAGCACAGGCTGCACAGCCAGTCAGCCCAGCCCAGGTCCCCAGCCAAAAGACAAATGGGCCGTGGGCGTGGGACTTGGAGTGAGCAGAGGGACTGAGGAGTGGGAGAGAGAGCCCAGGCAGGCCGGACCGCAGCAGGGCCACCCACCGGTAGTAATTAGTGCGGGTACAAGAAGCGATACTTTCGAAACGATGGGGGGCTGAACTGAAAGCTCGCTGGAGAGACCACTAGAGACCACTAGAGACCGCTGGAGCCATCGGGGTTTACTGTAGCGACCGCTGTGGTTTTCCGCGGCGATATGTACCTGACTGTGTACCCACCCCCATGCGAGACAGGGTGTCACGCCTGGCCAATAACGGGTACTTGGTGTGTACTTTGCTGAGTTCATCGGCTCAGTCTCCAGAGCGAAGGAGGGAGGGGACGGGGGAGGGAGTGACTGAGCAGAAGAGGAAGAAGGAGACCCACAATGGGTACGATCTCAAGGGCAAGCGGATGCTCTGACTGGCTGGACCAACGACCGTGGCCGGGGGTCTGGTCACTCTGGCGGACGCCTGGTGCCTGTACTTCTTGTACCTCTGACCTTTTTGGCCGAAGCGACAGGGGTGGTCGGGGTGTGCGAAATCAACCAAGGGGACCGTCGATGTTGCTGTACCTTGAGCCTTGAGGTCTACGCAGTATCCGTACAGAAAGTCAGAAAACCAAGGCGACCACTCCAGTCCAGTCAGTACGCATGCTCTATCGGTGCCATGATGACTGAAGACCACCATCTCAGGAAAGCAACGTATACGTAGACGTAGGTAGAGTGAGCCAGATAAGATGAAGAAAAGTACAAAGTGACGAGGTCAAGGTAAAAGACGTAACCCCAAATCATTGAGTCTGTGCTGCCCTGCTTTGTACCGTTCAGTTTCTGTTCTGTTCTGCGCATTTGCCGCCAAAGACATGGACGCTTGATGTCGGCCCAGCCCACCTCAGCCAGCTTTGGAGGGGGAAACCAGAGGGGAAACCTAGAATGGAAGACCGAGGTGAGGCCTGATGGAGTAAGACAGTCGACTGGGTAAGACGGTGCTTGGCGTTCTGCTTCGTATGAGATGTGATTGTACGTAGTACTCCGTAAGTTGGCACTGGATCAGTCAGGGCCAGTCATAGTCACGCAGCCGTGGTGCCACATGGGGGCAGAAGGAAGCCAAAGGGCGAAGACATTCGAACGGTGGCCGCAAGACAACACAGAGGTAAAAGCACCACTTGCGCGCGATAGTGTGAGGAGTCAAGACGAGGTGGGCAATGTGTAATAACCTATGGAGAATTTCGAAAGCATTGGGCATGGGCGAGGTTTACACGACAACTTCCGGCCGGGGGCCCAGCCCGGCATAGCATCCGATAGCGGGCGGTCCCTCACCTCGTTCCATAATCCATTTAACCTTCACCGTATCCCTCTGAGCCTCTTTTTCACCTGCCTCCTCCCTCTTTACGGATAGTCTATTGTCTATCCGTATCCCTAATCGTCCAATTACTAAGGTATGCTTGTTCTCCGAGTCACGGGGTTCAAGCCCACCCACTTCCACTTTGACAGGATGACATTGACAACTTGAGCAAAGGACATGAGGAAACCGTAATAGATGAAAAGAAACTGTAAAACATAATCCAATCAGCTCAAATGGTGAGACGAACAACCAGAACATCCGCTGCGCAGCAGGCTACCGGACCATCCTCTCGTCCGCATCGTACCGGAAAAAGGATGACTTGAATTTTGTCAGTGCTGTCACCGAGTAGGGAGGTGGTATCTCTATGGATATTTTTGGCCTTGACTTTTCCCTTTCGAATCCCATAGTTCGTTCCCCTGTCATTCGGTGATTGGGCCCGCCGACTCACTCACCTCTCCGTCTTGTTCCCACTCCTACGAAAAGTTCCATATTCCCAGTCGCTACCCCTTGTTCTTCCTGTCCCTCTGTCTCCATGACTCCATCGCTTTCATTTTGCTGTTATGATAAGATTGATGAGAAGAAAACCAAGGGGCACTCGCTGGTGGCTGCTCAACGGGAAACGGAAACGGGAACAGGCAGCATGTGGCAAACCTCGTCTGTGACGGCCTGCCTTTGTCCCATCGTTTCCAGCAGCCCATGCCGTTCTTGTCTTGCTCGTCGATATCTTTGCTTCATGTTTCTCTTCTGGAGGGAAAAGAAACAGCGATGCAGCCGTCCGCCTGTTCGGGACCGGAGGTGGGTACCATATCTTCCGTCGAGTTATTCTCTGCAATCATAACAGCCCGACGTATTGCTTCGGCTTCCAGTTGTTTGAACGAAGGGCAATCCGTCCAAACTTGACACACGGCCGCGAACCTTAACAAGGACTGGATTGGCGGGCAATCAAGGGCAAAACCGCTTTGTCCGGTCCAGCCCAGTCCCAGTTCGACCGTAGCTAGTGGATCTGCCACCCGAACGTAGCTCTCGCCGTCTCAACTGTAACATTGTTACATGTTCAATACCTCAACTTTCGGTCCGCCGCCATCCATCGCCCTTGCGCTGTTGCATTTGTCTGCAAGACATCTCATCCCGTTTGGAGAAGTACGGATATACCTGCGCCCGCGAACGGGTCATGCTGGATATTGCGACGAAGAGGTCCTTACCATTATGCTCATACATCACCAGCGGTGACTGGGAAATCAGAACGACGAACCTGGTGCTTTTGGTAGAGTGACTTGCTCCCACGGTTAGCAATACCGTAAATTGTTTTTGTAGGGACGAAACCGGTCCACTCCCGTGCTACCATTCGGCGCTATCCTTGGGTGAAAGATGGTCTCCTGTCTCGTCCTGTTGTGGTGGTGCTGCCCTGCAGTTCCTCCTCGGTGGGCTTAGTACCAAGCCTGTACCTCGACTGCAGAACGCGGCCTGTCCTTACTTGATGGATACACAGGTTCCATGTTGCGACAATGGTGATGGTGAGCGCACTGGGCTAGCAGCGGCTAGTGCTCCCCCCTGTCGGACCATGAGTAGAGGCCAATGTCGCTCGCTTGATGAATTCCATTGGCAACGGATACTGGTCTCGACACCCGGGGAAGAAGCCGTCGGATGGGTTTACAAGTTTTGAGTACAGAATATGCCTTTTGAGTAGTTGCCTTGCTGTTCCATGGCGGCCAGAAGTAAAAATCAACGACAGGAAATAGGCGAGTCGGGAAGACGACGCCAGACTGGCATGACTGGGTATCCAGAAGGCTTCTCTGCATCTTGTTCTGCTTCGCTGGCATGGCATAGTAAGGTAAGGCGGGCTGAAACCCCGTCCGCCAATGGTGGTGCCGCTGGCTGGCGTCGCCGGGGCGGTATTCTTCTTTCCTCGACCTCTTGCGGCTGGAACGTGGCCGGCAGCTGGTGACCGATAGAATTCGTTGCACGCAACGTCGACCGCACTGCAACTGGTGCGTGTGCCTGAGTGGGAACACCCTTCCTTCTAGATGGAATGTGAAGAGGGCCATACCACTGGCAACACCCACACCATGCCCGCATCCGTCCAAATTGGCCGGCGCGATCGCTGCTGGCTGAACGGTTCTTGAGGGTTCAACGACTGGGAGTAAGGCAGAGAAGTAAGGGTTTTCCGACCAAGCCGACCTATTCGACTTCAGCCATGTTCATCCAGATTGACCTGGGCCGTCTTCGGTGTCATGGCGGAATGCGGTTGTGTACGTAGCAGTCATTGAGATGCAGCGGCTAGGTGTAATGAGGGGAAGCCCATGTGCTGTGCAGACGTTCTACTGTGGTAGGTCGCCTCGCCATCCTTCAAATGGAGTCACGGACGGACGGCCGTACCTGACCTTCTATGCTGCAGCTGGTGCGGGTCTCATGAGGATCCCAATGGGTCAAGTAGCTTGCGCTGTCACTTGACTGTTTGCTGCAGTGTCCCATCGTCGAGGAGTGTGACTGTGACCATTGATCAGTCTACCGCTAGTCTACTTGGTGCTTCCACACATAAAGTCACCGCCGGTGTTTGTATCTCTATGCCAGGCTCTTCAAAGACTCTGACATCATTCGGGCAAATTCGAGGGCGCAGAAGAGGCATCCGCATAGGTAGGCGACCGGGTGGTTAATTGGCAGACAGCATCCAAGTTCCAGTAAGTTGAGAGTTGGGTTGGCTGAAGGGAGACCAGAACGCACATCCCGGCTGGATTACTCTAGTGTTGAAGGAAACCAATGAGAGTGAAGACGCGCGTGGGAGAGGACAGAAGGTGAGGGAGGATTGGTAGAATTATTCCGCAAGGTACGGATTGATTTGAGGCGGACGACAGGATCAATGGAAGAGACGGGATAAACGGAAGGAGGTCATCGAATTGTTGGTTCCTGCCCTCACTTCAGTCTCGGCGGTACACCTCCGTCTACCACCTGCACCTGCCATTGAAGCACCAGTGAAGCAGCAGTGCCCAAGTGGATGGATTGGCACATTGGGTGACGATGCGCGAGTGTGCTGGGTTGCTGGGGGCGCGGGAGAATCATACCTAACTTTTGGTTGCAGCCACGAGGTCATGTACCGCTGCAGTATCTGTACCTACCTTTGGGTACCTCGGAGTGGATCCCGTCTAGAAATGTATGTTGTTGCAAGTGCAAGTACGGAGGCGTCGGGAAGGTACCTCGGGAACCCCAGTCGATCCTTCCATTCTTTTGATGCGGTCTTCGTACCTTCCTCTCGTACGAACACCAGTAGGTACGAATACCGGTACGTACCTCAATTGCCAATGTCTCTTTCCTCGACAACGCCTCCGAAGCCTCCAAAGCCTTGAGACCCAGCTGGTGTTTCCCCGGAATGAAGAAAAAGAAAGAAGACCCCCAAATCGTCGACGGTGAACGATGCTACAGACGACTTTTCACAGAGATCGAGAAAGAAAAGAACAGGTCAGAAAAACAAATACTATCCCGTCGTGCCCGCCCAAGACCCCTGTCGTCCATTCACCACGAGCTGCCCGCCATCGACTCTTGACGTCGTTTACAATTGCAATTTCTGCCATCGTTTCTTCATATTCCGTACCACTCACAGAGAGACACACGCAGCGAACATCGGACACGACTTTGTGGCTACCCGGGTTCCCGCGGGAAGGGAAGTCACTTTAATCGGATTCATCATCGGGCCCAGACTAACGCCGAAATAGTGTTTCCCCTAACCGCCAGAATGAGCACTCAAACGGCGTGGGATGGTTGGTGCGGGATGATGGATCATGCTTGTGTCCTCGGATCCGCTGGCTTTTCCCGTCACGTCACTTCCCAGTTTCCACTTCTTCAAAGGCAGGCAGGCCACAGTCGTCGACTTTCGCAATATGTGCCCATGTTGGCGGGCCGGCATGCAAAGCTTCGCCAACTTGCAAGCTATCGCGGGCCTCCATACGGGCGCTCGTCCGAGGTGACGCAGTACCTACTTACAGCCATCACCATCACGGGTCAGGCCAGGAGCCAACAGCGCCACGGCCTGGGTACGAGCCCGAGCCCCCAATGACACTCACCATCGTATGGCCTCCCCAAGCAAGGCTCCAGACTGGCTTGGTTGCTTTCGTGGTCAGCTTCGTCGTACCTACACTACCAAGAGCATGGCGTAAGGCGAACGAAGCTCGCGATTGGCAGGGCCGATCGCTACGCAGCAGTGTACGTACCGTATATGGGCACTCTCTAGCTGACAGGCTTGCTACACATGCAGGTTGATTTGGATTTGATTTGCATTTTGTACTCCACGTCAGGGGAGGCGGCAGATGGCAGCTGGAGATTCGGCTTGAGCCTGAATCTCAACTGCAAGTCTCGCTTGCCTGCCAGATAGAGCCGTTCTTTGCTTGTCTCGGGGGGTGCGTCTCATTGTCTCAACCTCGACTGAAACATGTCTTTGCCGTTTTCCCTGGCGACGGACGTCAAGGTAGGGATACTTCAGCAATAGTAGGTAGCGCACCTGGGTGCATTTCGGTCTACCTGCGCGACATTTCACCTTGACTCGACAATGGCGAACGCACAGCAGGTAGGTACATAGCCAGTACGGCATGCAGCGTGGCAGCCAGCAGCCTACCGACTCCCATCCGTCTCGACTGTACTGTAGTGTTTGGAGGGAGGCTAGACGGATCGGTGTCGTTTGGTGTAGCGAACATGTTGCGCTAATATTCACTCCTTTGGGTTGCGGAAGAACACAAGGCCACAGCACCTGCCACGCTTTTGTGTGACCATGGAAGACGGGCACCCAAACTGGCTTCATGCCAGGTACGGATACCTTATGCATTTGTTTCGGCGCCATCAACGAGGACCTGTACGTTCTGTACCAGTGAGTACGATACTGGCGCTGGTATACAGCAATTCTCCCACCGGAACATTACTCAGTCCAAGATCGCGTCCGAGAAAGTCGGCCTGCCATCACCACGTATTGTCCCATCTACCAACTATTTGACCTCGAACGACTTTTGCAGAAAGCAGGGACCCTCTCCCGGCTTGTGAGCGAAGTATGATGCAGACGCCAGACAACTGCGACAAACTGCGATGGCCCAGTACTCGTGTTCAAACAGCACGGACTACTGGGCTTCGGCCGGACAATGCCATACCTGAGCATAATTCGCTGTGTGCAGCACAATCTAGCACAGAACGACGGCAACATCGACGATTGCTGGTTACACAGAATACAGAGTAAGATCTCGCCAATCACCCTGCCCCCGACGTTCGTGCCCCTGGTAGCTCATCCATAGATCCCTTAAACACGCGGAATACCGATTCCAAAGACTGCCTGACTGTATCTACTAGATATCGGATCGTTTGCGAGAAGTTGGCACTGCAGGAAATCATCAACATCACAAGGCTGTTTACACCAAATCGACAGCCACCACAAGCAAAGTCAACCACACTATTATTATTGTGGAGCTATCCGTAGAGTCTTCTCCGTGTGACTCGGCGCCTGCTTTCGAAAACCGACCACGAAGCCCAAGGGCCATCGCAGACAACAACCCCACCTCTAAAAGCATGGGGCACCGTCAAAGTTCGGACGTTGATGGAGAACGTAAGGGAGCATCCTGAAAACAGCATAAACGTCTAATTTCTGCCTCTGTCTAGTGCTTCATCATTGGATACCGACATTGCCTCTAGCAACGCTTCAATCTATCTGCAGGTAATACGTTTGAAGCTTTGAGTGTCAAAATCACCCTGAGCACTGATGCCGTGACCATCCATGTCCTGTAACGAGAAAACAGAAACATGCCGAGGCCGTTGGCCACTAACGGGCTCCTGTTGCCGAAAACATGGGTCGGCGTCTTCTTCATACAAACTCAACCGCGCCGGAAAAGAACAGGAAACCCGCTACCGGCGGCAGAGAAACGGTAGCAAGTTACACAGGGGATCAGTGAATGAGCACGCATATCAATCGAATCCGACTACGCACAGGAAAGCCTCGAATTGGGCCACTGGTGGTCAATGAGAGCCATATGTGTTTCCCCCGAAACAAGGACAGGATCAGACGCTGCCCAAGCAATCCATCCCCGCAACGACTACGAAAGCAACATTTCTGTTGATTTTTTGCCAGGAACTACCTGACCGTCGATAATACAACACCATGACAGCCAAGTTCAATATAAAAATGCAACGAGACGTCAGCTTACTGGATGACATAAGATACCTATGACCGCGCAAAAGCAGCTGCCGTCCGTCTTTACCTTCAGCGGCACTTGTGTATTCTCTTACCCATCTGTCCGATCTGAGTGTCTGACACCTGGCGGATCATCTCAGCTCACTTGTGGAGAGCAAGCTCCAAACCCTGCAACGGAGCTCGGATGCCCAGGCCTGCCAGCCAGTACATTTGCATCAACCTCACAGTCCACAGTTGCTATATCACTGCCAACTATCACAGGCGGACTGCTGATATCGGGGGCCATCATCCTACTAGTGGCGAAGACCTCATGGGTCGACCTGCTTCATAGTATTTTCTCATCACCTTGTACCCCAGTGCCTCCAACCTGCTGGGCCCGATGCCGCGCCTGAGCTTCTTCCTCTCCTTCTTCAAGTGTGGGCCAGCCTTCTAGCTGCATCCCATTCTAAGGGCCGGACTGGCCCGGTGTACGGATACTCATCGAGACGTTGCCGAGTCGAGATGGCGGATGGCGATTAAGCCGAATGGGTGTAGGTACACACGCGATACATGCATCGTTCCCCGCCCCGTTGCCCAACTTGGGCCTTAGATGCCGTAGCTAAGTCGATAGACCCGTGCGTTGCAGGCCGATTCCAGCCCTCGATCCCTCTTCCTTTTCGTCGACGAGTTAGAGGAAACTCCCGGAACAATGGCTACAATCGATGTGGCGAAGCTGAAGGAGAGTACTACAGACATACTAAGCGACGCAAATATTTGATCCCTCATAGAGTGAGTCCCATTCCAGCTGTTCGGGAGTTTGGAGTCCAGCCAGCCGGAGCAAGAAAAAAGTGTGAGACATGCTACACGCATGGGTAGCACAAAACCACCAAAAACGGTTACTCCATCCGAAGATGATGAGAAGCCTACCGGGCCTATCTACCTACAGGACGGCTACACACAGGAACCGCTCAGGACATCGACCAACATTGTTAGATATGGTGTGTGCTGGAAGGCTGACAGACACCAATGCAGCCGAGAAACCTTCCAGCCGGTCCAGCCAGACAGATGGGTTTCTATGGTTCGGACAAAGTAGGACCGGGTGCTGTCCTGTGCGTCGCAAACCCAAGTATCCGTGACTACACAGTACAGAGGTGTTTTGTGAGGTGGGGAGGAGGAGGAGAGGCGGATGATGGACCAGCCTGCACTCCGGCCTGCTTCCGTAGCTGCTCCGTTGATCAGGGCCACTCACCCGAGAAACGACAAGAAAGAGATGCTCAGCTCTACGCCTCAAACAGGATACCTGGGGCTCTTGACGAAGACCTGTGGAACCTACATTCCTTCCGATACGAGAGGGACTCGCCTTTTGCCGACAAGCAATGCGGACTGCAAAGAAGACGATTGCCATGTCGTCACGGAGAAGGGTTGATGCTTTTCGTTCGAAATACCCTTTTAACCAGGGCCCTGATCGTCCAGCAGATTGTCCCCTGCCACCAGGACCCTGAATAGGATGGTGGTGGTCTGGCTGACACCCTGGGTCTCGCCTCTCGTCTATAGTGCCTACTTGTACTCCGTATGGTCGTTCCGTTCCCGCCAACCATGTCGTCGCGCAACGTCCGAAACCAGTTACCGGTTGCCGGAAATCTATCACCCAGCCCCCGAAAGAATCTGCAACGACACCAAAAGGTTTGGGCGAAAAGATGAATTGCTCAAGTTTCCGCCGATGGCTTCATTCACATTGGTCTTTACCCCGCTTCTTCATCAAAGCACTCAATTCCTTCAATGGCTTTCGGCTCATGTGCATCATGTATAGGCAACGCCAGGGCCATTCGAACGTGCGTATGGCAGGGGGAGGGAGCAGCGCGGTGAATCGCAGTACGATTCTCTTTTTCCTATCCCTCCCCCCACCATGGCAACTGCTCTCGGATCACATTGCCCACGCACTGGCGGTTCGCGCTTTGCATATCGGGAGAGCATGGTGCGGGCGCCCATATATCAGAAAGTTTCCGGAAGGTGATATGATCTGTCAAGGAAGCACCCCAGCAGACTTTGTTATGTTGATTCATTTCGTTGCGGGAGAGCTTAACGGCATCGTCTATCTGTGTGGGATATTTGCCAAGTGGGAGCTGAGTCGTGTGTTGTCCCAGCGTGCTTCGTCTTCTGGTCCCATTCCCCCTTGGTTCAAATGTTTGCGGATTCAGCTCACCTCTGAATAGGTACAGATAGATTCGCAGCAGCGACCCCCATGGTCCTCTTACACGAAAGGGGACGGAAACGCACCTTTGCAGATCATTCTTTCCAGAAAAACGTGGTCTGTCGCTCTCTGTCTTTCTCTCCCCACTGCACGCGTTCAACGAAACCCCGTTGCATTTCGTCTGCCCATCCCGCAGCCCGCTCATCAATGTCGATCCGGCAGCAGCCAGCCACCGGCCGCCGAGAAATAAAGCGGGCTATCGCCCTCCGCTCTTGCCCCTCCCTTGCCCTCACCTGCGAGTCCCTCTTCTCGTTCTTCTTCCCCTCCAAGCGCAAGACTGCGCAGTAGTGTAGTATACGTACGGAGCATCCATCCGTAGAACAACAAGTCGTTAGTTAGGTCGACGTTAGCGTGTGATCTCTTGGGCTCTAGCGCATGTCTGTGTCTTGGCTCGGCGCGGGTGCCGCAGAGCGGAGGGGACTCCTTGGGAGGAGGGACGGGACTCTGTAGGTACCTACCACAGTACCTACACACCTTGGCATCTTGGGGTGGTGGAGGAGGAGGGCCAGCCGCTTCTGGTGTCAGGTGAGAGGGCCCGCTTCCTTGGGTTACGCCTGTTGATGGTTAGATACGTACGGATACTAATTCTTTTGCTGGTTACCTATCCATAAAAGGTACGCAAGGTTGGAGGAAGGTACCAGCCAGGAACATGGACATGAACAGAAACCCCAACCTGCTATTGCTGGGTGCCTGGCAGCGCCTCGCGAGGGAAGTGCCACTTTGAGTGTTACCCCAAGTTCCCAACTCACCCGTTGTGGAGAACTGACGGAACGAAAAAGTGCCCATAGGCCGGGGGCTACACTGCACGTATTGTTCAAGTTCGGAAGAACGAATGACAGACACCGCCTCATTAAGAATGACTCCCGTACGAGCTGCGATTTTCCGAATTGGTCTTCCTGGAAGAAAAAAAAGGTTCGGTTGGAAATTGGTGTCTTATTTGCGGTTGTTGATAATTTAGAATCAATTCAAGTCTTAACTCTGCCCAGAGACTGGTTCGTATGGCATGTAGACTTCTCGCTCGGATAACACGAGTGAGTGGATGAAAGGTGGGCACGGGAAGCCGACGTCGATCCCATCCCATAACAAAACCCCCTTACTGACATTCTGTAACAAGAGAGCGAGAGAGAGTGAGAGCAACTTCAGCAAAGTGGTTTCCCCTTTCCCCGTGAGCGTGTGGGTGTGGGTGTGTGTGTGTGTGTGTGTCTCGGCCGAGGAAGGGAAAAGGTCACCCACCCGGTATGCTGGGTCATACTGTTACAAGAAAAACAACCCTTTTTCAATGGAGAAAGTCTCTTTCTTTTTATTTGGTTGCGTCGATCCGTACTTAATTTATTCCACGGCAACAACGTCGAGGCTAAGGAAAACTTGAGACGAAAATGAGCATGGGCCCCGGTTTCGTTTTATGTCCCGAGACGGAGACATTTGGGTTGAACAAGATTGACATGCGCCGTGGTACCCAGCCCAGTAGCAATTCCCTTGTTTTTGTAGAACTGATTCGTAGAACGGAGGAGAGGCAGAAGCCTGTGCCTGAGCCGTTTGATTATGTCGTGAGGTGTTGCTTCCTCGCTATTGTGGTACACCCTAGATTCCGGTCTCGACTTTGGATCTCCGAGACTTGAAGGCAAAGGGGCAAGACGGATGAGGATGAGATGGTCACTCTAAACGGGTTGAACATACCAACGTCCCGTGAATCATCCCCACAAGATGTCGTCCTGTCGGCTTCAGATCCGGAGAGAGTTGAGGAGAGAAGGGTGGGGGAGACAGACAGCCGTCGGACGGATGAGAAATCCCCCATGGACAACGGCCTCGGAGGTGCTGATTCGCCAGAGAAAGGGGTCGTCTGAAACGAGGCTCTCGACCGCGGTTCCCTTCCTTTGCCTCTTGGTCGGGAGAGAGTCTGGACCCGCGATGCTGCTCGGGTCTGACGTGCCGAAGGGAGGTAGTTAAACGGATGGTTATTTCTCCTGATGATATCTCGATGGGTACACACTTGCGGACGTATATCGTAATGTGGTGGACGGATGCTCTGGACATTTATCAAAGAAGTTACAGTTATCCGTAGTGGCGATTATTCTGAGGCAATTATTTCCGGAGTTGTTGTAACGTCTGTTCGATATTGAGTTGGCTAGCAATTGGAATATTGTGAGAGAAAAGAAGTACACGCGCGTCTATCTTTTGAATAGAGGCCCATATAGATGGAAGATTACACCTCTGTACTTCTCTCATTATACTATTCTCGAAGAGGGTCGTGGGCATGTTCTAGACATTCACATCTCAATGCGTTACGTCCAGTCAAGGTCCGGGAAGAGCATTATATTGGGTAACATTTGAGAGAACTGACGATTTCTCTTCCTATTGCTAAATTCAGCACATGATCACTGTCACCTTGCTCACCGTGGCCTCGGGATCAATTTTGTGAGCACGGCGCATGCCATCTTGTGTTCCGTCGATCAGTATTTCATCATACCATCCATCGCAAGGTACGGCAGAGGTCAAATTGAAGCACCTGTAGTGAATCGAGACTCCGTCCTTAAAAAGAGCCTTGCGCCCTGGGAATACGCCGATCGTAAACAGCCTCCCAGGAACCACGAAGTTCTCTATAAGCGTACACTCCGCATTTCAACAGGGCTTCGGGAGGCGCCAAATGCCTGGCTGGCGCAAGGAAGCCTACAAAGCCCTACTAACAGCAATTGTTACGAGCCATGACGTTTGAAGCATATCTGATTGACGAATGGGCTCCAGCGCCGCCTAGCAGAAGATCACGGCAAAAATCTACTCGCCCAACGCAGCATTTTGAACCCCCCGTTTTGGTTGACAGTCGTCTCTCCCCCTCCAAGAAAGAAGCAGTTCCCGCACACGCCTTTTTCCACAAGTTCATATTCCCATTATCCCATATGAGGCCGGTCTAGTCGCGGGCCCTCTCCCTATTTGAAGGTATGTCCTGTACATCGTATCTGCGACGCGTCGTCCCTGGGCGGGGTCCCAAGTCTTTGGACAGTAATCTGTCGGTTAATTTTCGTTCTTCGGCTTGGTCGTTCAGCCGTCTATTGGGTCTTGAAGAGAAGGATCGCGCAGTGGCCGAGGTAGAAGTAGATGAAATGCTTAGTTTCTGTATACCGGGTTAGATATGATTAGGGTATGTCCAGTTTGATGCCCCGTATTCTCCTCCTGTTATGGCTGGAAGTCGGACGTTGGGCTGTTGGTAGACGTACCGTGGGTCACGAAGCTGCCAAAGTTGCGGCCAACAATGCAGTGCCATGTAGGTCCCTTGCGCTCATCGAACTGAAATCGCCGCAAGTATTAGCAACTGTATGCAGTCAGGCGATAAAAGGAATTACGGTAGGCTCACGGTTCGCTTGATGTGCTGGGCAATGTCCTGGAGATCATGTTTGTCAGTAAACGATGTCGTACGCTATGTTCTCTGTGAAATGGGGACGCGTACCTTCTCAATAGTGAACTTGGCCATGGCTTCCTGAGCTGTGGAGGGGTCGTCAGAACACAGCGGGGTCCTACGGAGGGGCTTTCCGAGGAATGACGTTACATACCGACTTCAATGGATTCCTGCTGCATGTCCTCGGTCTATACACTGTCAGTATCGTGGGTCGCAGTTGGGCGGTCCGTCGGCGCTCCTCACCATGTCGGCGCTCTTGACCTGAGCTGTTTTTCGGTTGCGTCAGCCTCGTCTTCAACCTTATCCTCGTCCAGTTCCTGCACAGATGACCCAGTCTATTGTCGCAACGTACCTTCCAGCTTCTCGCGCGGAGCGGGCGAAGTGCTCTTAGCGTCGGCCATTGTATAATTTCGTGGTGCTGCAAAAGTATCTGAGTTTTGCGATCTCGTCGTCAGCCTCGGTCCAGATGATTCGTTCGGTTTACGCGGCACAACTCGCAAGCCCCTTTTCCAACTCATCGTCCACTGCTGCGCCTTCGTCTAGTTCGGAGAAACTCACTTATAGGGATCGAGGTTCTGACGAGAGTGTCAATGATTTGCTGCACATCGCGGAGGGTTCGACTTACATGAAAATCCTTAGACCGAGGAATTGGCTTGGTTTACAAGTTTCTTTCAAGAGTGGTTGTCGCGTGTTTGGAGCAAACCTGACAAAGTGCCCGCGACAGGGAAGGGTCCATTCGATCGAGTTGGGTTGTCATGGGCGCACGGGCCACAATCTTCCTTCCGGGGTGGAAACGGCTACGGCTGTAACATGCGCTAGCGTTGACAAGGCGGGGCGGAAGGTCACATGGCGATAACGATAACGACGGGGCGGAAGAAAAAAAAACTTCAAGGCAAGTCCCGTTTCCGTCGTGAATATCACCAAGGCCTTCTCCCGTCTTCCTCTGTCCACTACACGACAGCATGTCTCTGCCTTTATAGCCACCACAACCCCCCGAGCAATTGAGCTCATAATCTTTTCTTCTTACTACTGTTGGAGCCTTTTATTTTGTTTTCTGAGATACCCCTTCACATAATGGCTGCCACCGCCGCCGAAGCTACTCCATTGGAGACCTCTCGCATTTTCGTGAGAGGTCTTCCGCCCAAAATCACAGACGCAGACTTCCGACAGCACTTCTCAGCTGGAGGTCGTGAAGTTACAGACGTAAAAATTATTCCTCAACGGAGAATCGGCTATGTCGGTTTCAAAACTCCCGAGGTTGCTGCGAAGGCAGTCAAGTATTTCAACAGATCGTACATCCGTATGTCAAGGATCAACGTTGAGCTTGCAAGACCGGTATGTTGACATCGTCACCTTGTAAACAAACGAATGTCCATATACTCATATTATCTACCCAGATTGCAGATCTTGCCCCTGCAAAGGCAAAGGGCACTAGCGGCCAGATGTCTGTGGCAACGCCGTCAGCATCCGTTGCCCCTCTCCCTGCCAGTGACGAGAAGGATGCGAAGAAGAAGCGAAAGCGAGAGGATCTGGATGAATCGGATCCCAAGCTGCGCGAGTTCTTGCAGGTCATGGGCACTGGTCAAAGCTCTGCAAACGAAATGTCAGATGTCATGGCCTCTGCCGCTGTTAAAGAGCAGAAGAAGTTGCTTCAAGACGACGAGAGTGACGATGAGTATGAGGCCATCCCGTCTCGGCCTGAGAAACGGCAGATGAGGGAGGCACCACAGGGAGATGGTCGTACAGAGCCTTTGCCGGAAAAGGACGAGGCGATGCCTGACGCTGACCCCGTCTCTGAGCCGACGGAAGTCAGGCCTCAGGACGAGACTACGCCTACCCCAACCAATGCTGCTGCCACCGACGATGATTGGCTTCGTTCGAGGACAAATCGACTACTTGACCTAGTTGAAGATGGCGAAGTGCCCCGACCTCCAGTCCAGCAAGACAGTGGAGAGACAGTCGGAAGTGCTCCCGTGGAACAGCAAAAGCAGCCGGCGGCCGAGAAGCCCAAGGCCGAGACTGACGGTGGAGCTGTAATTCAAGACGCCCCGGTTTCCCAGGAGGTCGAGGAAGATGCCACCCTCGCCACCATCAAGCGAAACTCTAGACTCTTCGTTCGAAACCTACCGTTTAGTGCCAAAGATGAGGACTTGCGGGCACACTTTGAACAGTTTGGGGAGCTGCAAGAGGTAAGCAGAGAGCTTTTCATATCAATCTTACGCCACTCCGTGCCATACAATCATGTGATGAATCCAGATAGGGACAGCTTACATCAAATGATGGTTGATGCGAACCTTGGATCGGTATTTTAGTAGATGCTTCGACTTTCTGAAAAATGATTGCCTTCTCAGCCCTTCATATGAACATCAAAGATGTGCTCAGATTGCTAATTTCCCACCAGGTACATCTGCCAGTCACTGCTGGAGGCGCAAGCAAGGGCTTTGCAATGGTCCAATTCACGAGTGCCGAGTCAGCTGTTGCTGCATTCCAGTCGACGGATGGTCAGACTTTTCAAGGGCGTCTTTTGCACGTCTTGCCCGCTGAGGGAAAGCGCGATGCCGGGCTGGATGAGTTCGCAATCTCAAAGCTGCCCTTGAAAAAGCAGAACCTGATCCGAAAGAAAGCCGATGCCGCCTCTAGCACGTTCAACTGGAATTCTCTGTACATGAGCCAGGATGCAGTCAATGCTTCCGTGGCAAGCCGGCTGGGCGTGTCCAAATCAGAGCTGCTAGATCCCACTTCGGCAGATGCCGGTGTCAAGCAGGCCATCGCCGAGACGTCGATCATCCAAGAGACCAAGTCGTACTTTGTGTCGAACGGCGTGGATCTCGATGCCCTCAAGTCGCAAAAGCGGGGCGACACGACCATTTTGGTCAAGAACTTCCCGTTCGGGACTACGATGGAGGAGCTGAGAACTATGTTTGAGGAGCACGGCACAGTCCTGAGGGTGCTGATGCCGCCTAGTGGTACCATTGCCATCGTCGAATTCGCGCAGCCAACACATGCAAAGGCTGCCTTCGCTAAGCTGGCGTATAGGCGTATTAAGGACACTGTGCTGTTTCTGGAGAAGGGCCCGAAGAACCTGTTCAAGAATGATGCCTCAGTAAACATGACGCAGGGCAAGGAGGATCGGCCCACCGGTGTTCAGAAGTTGAGCGTTACAGAGCTTTTGGGACGGGACGACCAAAGCGAGGCCAGCGTTGAAACAACCTCACTGTTTGTCCGGAACCTCAACTTCTCCACCACGACGGATAAGTTGGCAGAAACGTTTAAACCGTTGGACGGCTTCGCCTCCGCCAGAGTGAAGACAAAGATGGACACCAAGAAGCCTGGACAGGTGCTCAGTATGGGTTTCGGCTTTGTCGTCTTCAAGACAAAGGAACAAGCGCAGGCAGCCCTCAAGTCCATGGACGGGTTTGTGCTGGAAGGGCACACCCTTGCGGTCAAGGCTTCCCACAAGGGCCAAGACGCAGCAGAGGAGCGTCGCCGGGAGGACAAGGCCCGCAAGGCAGCGGGGCAGCGGACCAAAGTCGTCATCAAGAACTTGCCCTTCGAAGCGACCAAGAAGGACATCCGCACCCTGTTCAGCACCTATGGCCAGCTCAGGGCGGTGCGCCTGCCGAAGAAGTTTGGCAACTCGACCAGGGGTTTTGCCTTTGCCGAGTTTGTCACACCCCGAGAGGCGGAAAACGCTCTCAACGCATTGCGAGACACCCACTTGCTGGGCCGCAAGTTGGTTCTCGACTACGCCGAGGCCGAGGCGGTCGACGCGGAGGAGGAGATTGCCAAGATGCAGCGCAAGATCGGGGGCCAAGTCAACAAGGTCGCTCTCTCGCAGCTCATGGGCCAGAACAGGAAAAGGGTCACCATCGGAGACGACAATGCCGACGAGATGGATATGTGAGCGGTTGGAGGAACATCAACATCAACGGTCCCAAGAGGGAAAAGATAGAAGCGAATCTAAATTTTTGTCGGTGTTATGTCACCATCGTCTCACAACATTTCCCTGACCAACTGCACTATCGTCGCGTCATTCTCGTCTTCCCCCTCAAAGTGACAATCGATACCACCAACTCAGAATCAGAGAAGTTTGGTCCAGGTATCTCTACATGGTATCGCCCTTTGGTAGTTACTTTCTTTAACTTCAGTGGTAGTCCACATCTGTAATTCTGTATGCAAATCTGTCTCACTTATCCCTGGCCCCGCGATTTGGGCCCCTGCTCACCCCCTTGTCACCCTTCCGATCAATTTTTCTCCGAACAGAACACCTCCTGCAAAAAATAAACCGTCCCGCTATTGGGGCACCTTTCCCCATGTCAAGCCCACGACGGGAACCAAAGGAGTTTGTTTTGTCAAACGGTGGGGTTCTGGAGAGGGCGGAAACTGCAAGTCAACTACGGACTAATACTGTCTGTGCTATTTGGGACCTTGCCCCGTGCACCAGAACATCGAATGGCAATAGCTTCAATACGCGAGAGAACCATCTTCGTTGCAGATGGGAAGGGATGAGGAAGAGGAGGAGAGTGGGAGGAGGAACCACGCGGGGAAAGGCAGAGGAAAGCGAACATCATCCTCTCACACCAAAAACCTTTCTCTCATCTGTCATTTCGCCTCCTTCTGCCTGTCCTGCCTCGAGCTGCGTACTTGTGTGTCCCTCTTCGCCTCCTTGACCCGCACAGCAGGAATGCATCTCTCTCCCCTTCACTCGGTGTTTTTGTCTCTTTCTAATCTGGCTACATGCCAGCTTCACTGTGCACTATGCCCTTTCTTCGCCTGTGTTTCTAACTCTATCCTTTTGTTTTGTCTTTCTTACTCGTTGTTATTTTGCCTCTCGTGTTGCGAAGGATGTTCCAACTTTTGACAAGAGAGCGGAACGGCGGGGAGGCCCTAAATCAGCATCCATGCCGAAATCGAAGAAAAAGTTGTCTGTCCGTCCCATCTTCTTCCAGACTTGCCTCTAGAAAGAGTAAGAGAACTCTCGATTGGACGGGTCTGAATGAGTGACGGTGGTGGTGGTGGTGCTGTATGGTTTGGTGCGCGTGGTACGTGCAGATCCAGAACCGTGGTCTCTACCTAGTTCGTCCCAAGTTGGCCCCCCCGTGAAGGCCAACGTTCCTTGGACCAACCCCCTTGCATGCCAGCGCCCTCAATGTGTCCACCACTCCAGCTTCGTTAGTTTCCCATGATTTGCCATGTGGAGATGGCCCTTGTCGAATTGACAGACGATCATATGCACACGCACATCCGCTTGGTACTGTACCGTAGTCGTAGGGCGACAGGGAAAACCTCAACGGGCCCCATATCGACAAGACTGGCTCCCCGATGCTTCCTAGCTCAGCTACGACTAAGCTCGCGATCCTCCGAGCTGTCAAGTCATGTTAGTCAAATTCGGGTCATACAA